TTTATTTGTAACTTATCTCTACTTCATGTGAAGTGATCACTTTGTATTTGTGACATTTATATAATAGTATGACTTGTATTTGTATAACATGTATTGTATTATTATGACTTATTCTACACCCTATTGTCATCTGAGTAACTTATGGATCCATGGAATGTATAAAGATGTATGTATGTATATACCATTATTTTGAGTGATTCCATAATAAACTAAAATTACCATTTACTGTGAAGTTTTTAATCAGTGTGTAAGGTTTTTATTTACATTACATTACTTTATTATATTATATTATACCAAATTTATGTAAGCGTTGTCTGAAGTAAATGTCCTAAGTCTTGTAGTAATATTTAAAAACCAAAGTTTATCATCATGATGGCCTGTATTTTCATAGTCTCAACTTTGAAGTGGAGGACATTAAGTTTTGGAAAAGACTCTCTATAGATATAAAGAACCAATAATGTAACTTGCTGCTGTCAAGTCATCTCATACTCAATTGTGAGGGAAACTCTGCTGTTAAAAATGCAAACCATCAGATGTCTCTTCATATGAATTCTTTGTAAATATACTCATATCAAACAGGTAAAGAACATTTAATGACCTGCTATGGATATAAGTAAAATGCAAATCATAATGGAATTAAGAATTTGATACATTCAGTTGCTTAATGTAATAAAACTGGCTATTCTAATGACATATATGGTGTTATTACTGTTTATTTGTTACTTATTAATTTTTTACTATTCAGTTGATCTTTCTGTTTGTTTCAGATTAGATGTTATATAAGTAATACCATACTATCAGACTGCATTTCCAAACTTTGTATGAGTTTATATTAAATCCAGATTTTTGTGCCTTAAAATAATCAGTATGAAGAAGATACGTCGACGTTTCTCACAGACATTTCGCTTCAGTATTGAGGAATCCCTGTCTGAATTGGCAGAACATTTGACCATTGATGATGGTGGTTCTGTTAAAGAAAATGGTAAGTGTTGGGTAGTATGTTGTTTTTATTGACACATCTAAGTGCATTGTACTGTGAGGTCTTAATCATTCATACATCAGTTCAGATTTACATAATAACTAAAATCCATTGTATGTTACCATTGTGTATGTCTAGTTGTCAGAATGTAGTCTACATTTGTTGAGTACATGCAGTCTTAGAAGATTATTTGTACATTTTAAAAATTGTGATTTTGTGTGCCCATTTTAACGAATTGTGAATTTGGCAGTACTTACACAGTGTTTTGGAGTATGAGATATAATACTTATTTTGATGATGTTGAAATCATTGAAGGGAAAATATTTCTGAATTGGAATTTTTTACATGTGTGAATCATTTTAAATGTTATTTATATTAGTGTATTTATAATGAAACCAAAGCACAAGGTCTTGGTGACTTCCTTTCAGATCATCACCAGTTCCTAGTTTACTACTCATACCACACCACTAATGAAAAAGAATATGGTAACATAATTCATTATCACAAGGCAGTGAGGGGTTGGACATAAAGCTTCATGTGTTTTTATATTTATAAGCTTGACACTAGATGGAAGTAAATGATCAGCTTCTTAAGTCAGCCACTTTTACCCCTGGAAAATAGTCCCCATTACCTATTGTATAGGAGGGTGGGTGGGCTCCAGAGCTTGTCTTTATTTGGTGGCTCATGGAAATTTAACTCAGTCATTCAGCTTGTGTGTAGCCATTCATTTTACTGACTGAACTATCTCATCTGGTATTAAACAACCTATGCAGTTGAGAGTTTAATTAACTATATGAAAATATAATGAGAGTAGTTTTTAGCATCCCACTAATCACTGATTCTCTCAGGCAGAAAGATAGATTCTCTTCCTGTCATGTGGCCTGTGGAGATTTGAATTGCTAATATAGCTGACAGACTTGCAACATAAACACATTCAAAGTTAAACTTAATCAGAACACATCAGATTCTGGAAATGATTTCCATTTTTCTTTGTATCTCCATGATACATTTATATCACACATTGAAGTTCATGGGTACTGTTCCACATTTCTCTGGACCTCTTGAAAAAAATATCACTATACAGATTATTAAAGTTCACAGTTGATTGATTGTAAAATGGGACAACTTATGTTTTGATTGATTGTAAAATTGGACTGAACTTCTTTTATTTGCAGGTGTTCATGTTATCCCAGGATTCTCTGATCTAAATCGGAAGCTCTCATTGTCACACTCACGCATCATGTGTCCAAGTCTGAGAGACGGTAAGTCAGTGTGAATTATCAGAACATGAAATATTACTCTGACATTAGGAAATTTTGTATATTCTGAAGGGTTATGATGATTGTGTAATACAATCTATATTTTTGAGTTTTTGGACTTTGTCGATCATCTGATGTTATAGAATTACATTTATTTTTAATTTTATAAGAGATAAGTGATTCAGTGATTTTTTAATCACTGTAAATGCTGTGAATGTTATGTGTGTGGTATTGTAAGCAATGTCTGGTCACTGATCACTCTTATGTTAGCAGCTGACTCAGGGTCCTAAAGTGGGGAAAGGAAGGGTTGAAAAGAGAAGGTTTTGGAAGTAGGGTGGCCTATGGGGTAAAATGTAAACGTTGGCTTCAGTCACCACTTCATTTATCAATTAATGAGTGGTGATGGTGATATTTTAATAAGAGTGATTAAATAACTGTTACTGATATATAACTCTTTATGCATCGTTGTGCACATGTACAAAATACACACATACGCACACACAAGAACATGAATATATCATGTAATATACCAGTCATATGATAATTTACCATAAAGGGTGCAAAAAGATGTGGGTAATGAATTCAAGCAGTTCTTTTATGTTGTTTGAACTGGTTTTATCTAGTAACACATTCCTATATCAATTTAAATAATAACAGTTGCACTGTGCCTTTAAAATCTCTAGAGAAGTAGAGGTTTGTCAGGTGTATTTGTAACAAATCATAGGCATATCTCTTCAATATAAGATTTATTCTTTAACTCTTAGGCACTTCTTATTTAAAAAAAAAGGAGTGCATTGCAGTCTAATATACATACTTTACACTGTTATAACTAAAATACATGAACATACATTTTAAACATTGTTTTTTTTTTCTTCTCTACTGATTCAGTTGTTTATTGAAAACTGATTGTCCAGTGGTTCTTGAGTTGAATTATGCAGAGTGGATGGACAGAGAGACATGTATGTGTTCATTTTGTGCACATTGTGCATAAAATGCATTATAAGGAATGCAATAAAATGGTATATTTTGTGTTGTGTACAACACAAAACATAGGGTAAGGTAAGAAGTTTGAAGTACATTTCAGGTAATTTAATTGTTATATATGTTTTTATATATCATAGTATAGACTCTACAAAGATGCATATTTACTGAAAGGGGTCATATAGGAGGCCAGTCTTCAGGAAACTTGATAAAAATATTGCCTTTATTATCAACTATGTCTTGAAATGAAGAATACATATTTGTAAAAAAATTTCCATAGCCATTCAGCTGCTGTATATTCTCATCATAGTGAATTTGATTGATATTTGTCCAGCCCTTCTATAATTGTTTTCTATGGCAGTAAAAATTTAGAAATACACATAATGTACTGTGGCCCTAAGCATGTTATGTGTTATACTAAGAAACTTTTTAGAGTATTTATAATTTTATTTTTCATATGCTAACCTCCTTGTATCCCCAGGTCTTGCAATGGGTGTGCTGCACAGTTGTGAAATTTTTCCTAACTTAAAGTGGTGTGAAAGTTCGTTTGTGCATTTGATGTGATAGAAATTATCTCATATTGCACATGACATGAAGAATAATATTGCTTTTGCTTTAATGCTGAAGTTAGTAGTTTAATGCTAACGTAACGTCTAGAAAATAAAAATATGAAGTTACCTGGATATTTCACATTTTCTTCTGAAGCATCCTTCCATCTCACTATACTGTAATTTCTGGAGTTTCAACAAGGTAATAGGTTTGACTACCTTATTTCAGAAGCTTTAAATTTGTTGCTTAATTACAATTTTAATTTTTCTGTATATTCCTGTTTTTGATATATGGTAGTTTAATGCTTCTTTTGTAAAATGTGGAGTGGGAGCACTATGGCATTGGTATTTTTGTATTTAACATGGAGACAGTTAAAAATGGAAATTCTACCTGAGCCTTATAATATCCCTTAAAATAGAAATCAGAGAATACTCAACACTCACTGGTACAGTTATATAAATTTAAGTGTCAGCATTTCAAGATAAATTCTGCTATAAGAATAAAGATGCATGGCCATTAAGGTTAGGTACTTGAGGTTTGACATAGGTTACAAGAAAAAAATACAATAATACCTGAGATACAGAACATTAAGGGGCTATTGTTTTCCTTAAATGCATTTCTTATAGCATTTGAAGTAGATTATTGGTAATACAATAGATCAATTTAAACTGACAGAGTTTTATAAATGTGGATGTTTGTTATGATCAAATTAAGAATATGGAAACTTTACAGTGATTGTGTAAAATACAGGGAAATAGGTAGAGATTCCCTACATGTTACTATTTTAAGTCCCTGTGCACAGTCACAAGAACACACTATTCTGATTAGTAGTATTACACTGCATGATAGTCAAGTCCTGCGAAGGATTTGCACCATTGCATCCTTGCAGTTTTTCTATCGTTGCACTACAAAGCACTTACTCACTCACCCATCGTTGTGTTTAAATTGTAGTATAGTTGGCATTTGAGAGTATTACAAAATCAAACATATAGCAAGGGATATTCTGCAATGCATATCAAGGGCATCATACCAAAAGGTTTTATTTTAAAAATTTCTGATTTACAGGAAACTAAATTCTTACACTTATTAAGTTTGACAAATGTGCATTATTAGTGTTGATATGCCCAAATGCATCTGTTTGTATCTCTGTGCAGGAGCAGCAGCATTATGCCTTTCTGACATACATCCCTCTATTCTGTATTAGACCAAATATCTCTGATTATGCAGATATGTTGATATGCCCATATTGCATTATGCTGTTGTAAAAAATATTTTACCTTTTTTTTTTCATCTTTACTCACTTAGCACAATGAAATAATTTTATCCTGTGTTGCCAGCTAAACTTCTGACTTTTGCTGAGCAATGTTCACATAGCAGCTGATAGCATTTTTTACTTTTCTTAGCCACTTCCGTTGAATGTTATGTGTATTGTAACAAGACATCATTACTACTTCTTAACATATAGATGATCATAATTCATAGTCAGTGTTTTATGCTTACCATTAATGTAACAGTATAATGTTGTGTACTACAATTATAGTAATCTGTTTACTGGGAAGGACAGTGATTTACTAGAATGATTTTTATTACATGAATAGACTGATACAAATTCATTACTTGTCTGCAGTTCTGATAAGCTAAAGGTCATCGAGTGCACAAGTCATCTTATCAGTCATGCTTATTCTTAATTATGAAATATGTGAACTGAATACTTGTGAAGATGTGTGGAAAATTTGTTGTGTTATGTTACAGTAGTCATGCATTAAGCAATTATATATGGTGAAATAGCATAGTTTATATTGAAAATTCAGTATTTGGTCAACTCGTATTTTGACTACATACTGAGTGAAATTTCTGTTGAATTTTGTTTGCTGATAAAGTAAATACAAACAAAATTCTTCTTTTAATATATCTTTTGGATCTTACATTAATTGTTTTCTTAAAAATCTTGGCCATTGAAAGTGTTTGTTGTTAAATAATCCGAGAACAAATAAACAAAAATGAGAACATTTGATGGATGATGCAGCTCAGTGAACAGCAATTCTGACACACATTTAAGAAAACTTAGGTCTGTATGCTTCTTTTCTTGTCCATGTTGACAGCCATGACTCTTACATAGTTGTGTATTCATCTTTTACAGCTTTATCAGTTATAGATGTTATGTTGTGTTTACTGATATGAGATAATTATTATATACAACGGAGTGGAAAGGATGAGGGAGAAAACAGTGATCTTGTTTTGTCAAGTGACTGGATATTCTAACATTCACCTGTGCTTACCAAAGATAACCAATAAGAACTTGTCATATCTGCTGCTCCTGACAGTATTTACACTGGACACATCCCAAATACAAGTCATGTCACTGAGACAACCTGTTTGGTGTGCCTGTATAAAACTAGCTATTTAAAATCATAATGTTTGCATGTTTGTGTGTGAATTTCTTGTAACTGTTGAAAAATGTTATGGTAGACAAAAGGCTGCACTACCAAGATATCTTATTTTACAAGAGCATTTGAATCTCAACCAAGCTACTGGCTACCCTGACAGCTTTCTTTTTAATTTGTGGTTTTCCTCATCATCTTAAATTAGTTGTCAGGATAGTACCTTATAGGTAACAACCACTTCCGAATTTGTGTCTTCTCACCATTCATGATAATCTCCATGTTCCAGCCAACACTAATTCTTGCACTCAAAACATTATCATTAAATAACTAAAGAAAACATGTCTAATTATTTAGGTGGGTTAAAGGAAAACAGCAACAACATAATTCTGCACATGAAGTAGAAATTGAGTTCATTGTTATCTGTACTGGTAGTTGTGTCTGTTTGTTAGCATTTAGAAGAAGCAGTTGGGTAGAGAATTTTATGATTTGTTGGAGAAAGTTGATCTTTAACTGAATTTTTGTTAACAAAAATTAATTTTACCAGTTGTATTGTCATATCTAAGGTGCATACATCTTGAATCATTCTGATCCTCAGATCACAAGTTCAAATCTCGAGGCATGGATGTACACCATTGTTTTCTGTGTTGTTATTCTTTGTAGGTGGAGAGGCCTTACAGTGTTGTAATACCACAGTCTTCAGGTGTTACTAAAGGTGTAGCAGTTCATAATTCTCTAATTCTGAACCAGCTCAGGCCAAAGGGCCTAATCTGTGGAAGCTGATGAATAAATTAAAATTTCCATTAATTTAAAGAAATAACTGCATGCTTTTACTGTCATGGTGAATGAGATAATATATACATATGTAGTGAGGGAAATATAATGTGCACAGAAGGCTTATGCTTTCTGGCAGATTGGAGTGACATATCACACTGGGACTTATAATAATAATCTGTGGCGTAACAGCCCTCTGAGAGCCTAAGGCGACTAACTGGCTGCTGGCCTCATGTTCACATGCCTAAGCAGAGGTGAACGATCATCCAACCAGATATAGGGTGACGTGTGGTCAGCACGACGAACCCCCTGCCATTG